GAGGGAAGAGATTAAAAATCCCAATAAGTGAGTGCGGTGAATTGCAATTCATATTTAAATTTGGGCAGGAGAGTTCATAATGTACATAAAGGATACACGAGAATTATAGCCAACTTAAGAGGTATTATCTCTTGTGCCTAGCGCTACTAAAATTCGATCCTCTTATATTATTCATATAGGAGATTCCAAAATTTAAAAGTACAGAAGACAATTCACGTACAACATGCAACAACACTTGCCTTGATAAGGTTGGGGATAAATGGAAAAGTCTAGGTAAATAAATTTGAAACCTCAAGAAACCTCAATTTCTTGCTTTGACTTTTCGCTAATTATAAAAAGATGCAATTTCTTTAATATATGTGTATGCATGTTTGTGGGCTCAATGGGCGTTAGCCTTTTGCATAAAGGGTGATATTTATAGGGAAGTTGGGGTTTTGCAATGCATGGAAAGTTTGATTTTGTTAATTGTCTATCCAATTTCACCTATATGCATAACTAGAAAATATATAATTATATTTCTGTATATAAAATTATAAATATTTACATCTCAATCAATTATATTATCTCAAGAATTTAAATTCATATATTCTTATCTTAAAATACATGGATGATTATAGACTAATTTATACTAGCTTACAATTATATAAATAACTAACATTTAGTTATTTATATCAAAATCATCTAAATCAATTTAACTATAATCCTAAAATTTAAAAGAATAATCTAGACTATTCGTAAAATATTAATGTTCATAAAATATTTCTTTTTCTACTTATGCAAAAATTCGGGTGTAGAAAGGGCCCAAAGCTGCAGTTTCAGAAATTGCAAATAGGTCCCTAAACTACGTCAAATAACCAATCAGGTCCCTAAACTTTTAAATACTTTACATTTGGTCCCAAATTTTAATATAACAGCTAGTACCGGGGCAAGAGGATTTATACATAAAATCAAGGAGTTCAATGGTTACATAAAATCAAGGAGTTCAATGGTTGCCAACTTCCTTGATTTTCAGCAATATCAGGTGCTGATCTCATTTTCTTCTGAATTCACAAATTCGCAACTAGGATGACTAATATCAATTTATTAAATGGCATTTGGAAGAACTGGAAGATTACGAAGTTCAACTAATTAACATTGTTGCATGACTAGCTCTTTGATCCTCTACTAGTTGCTCTCCCATCTGGATTTATCATTACCTTGTGTAATAGAATTCAGCTCTGGGATCTGACTATGATTATCTATGTTGTGAGAATTGAATCATGAGCATTCCTTTCCTGAATGATACCAGTTCACTAGGGTTCTTATGACCTGAATAAAACGAACTCTGCACCTGCACCCCACTAAAGAAAAAAGACCTAGGAACTGTAAAAAGAGAACATTGCCTAAACTACTTATAAAAGGAAAAAAGGTTCCAAAGTACACGGACTTGTGTTTATTAAATTTCAATCAAACAAGTTGGCCATTGACCAGTGAGAACATTTACTAATAACAGAAATGGCTTTCTTCCCTATTTTTAGGTTGATATAGAACGAAAAGCATTTTCTTTGGAGTTGAATCTTCCCTAAATTATTTTAGAAAGAGCAGATTGGTTCGGCTGTTTACTCTGGAACTCAAGATAGATTTCTTGTTAATTTCCATTGGTGATGTTATGTATACAAGTCCGTTTGTTATTAAATTTTTTCTTGTTTATTCGAATTGGTAATGTGTTTTTCTTCTCCTGTTCATAACTTGTATGTATTTTTTCACATGGTAGAATGCTGAAAAAGTATCATAGTGATCCTTGGGTTATCGAACGTCTCTCTAGACATTTCTATTCAGAGGAAGTTTATGATGACTCGTCAGCAGACCAGCCAAAAGTTCGGTGGCGTTTCCGAAACTATTTTGGAGATAATGTTGCACATCCTCAAACTACATCCAATAATGAGGATACTGATTTAGAGAAAAATAATCTCAAGAAGACTAGTAGGGAGGCCCCAAAAAATTATGTGAGTGAATTTGCTGAATCTCTCACTTTATTGAATGTGACATGTGTAATCTTGGAAAATATATTTTAAGGAGTGCTAAAAAAAAGTTTTGGCATGCATACATATGTCGCTATCGAAGCTTCTATGATCTCGAAAAAGAGCAAATAGAAAAAAGAACATATGCATTATTTATATTTGGCAAATAATATGCATATGACCTTCCTTTTGCTTCAATAAATCAGTCTACTCTGAACCTTCTGTCTTAAGGCAAATATAGAAATGAAAGAAACTTACACACAGCCAATAAGTTGCATTTTTCTAAAGCAAATAAAAGAAATGCCTTGTCTATCCAAAGTGACTTTCTTTAATTCTAGACGAATGCTGCTGGTGATGTTATGGCAAATCCATTTGATTGCATTTTTGGGCTTCCTGCAAGTATAGAGGAGATTCCTCACCCTGACACGTCCAGCACATTATCCAGAAGACAGAGACGCATCCAGAAACGATCTCACCGCAGGCATAGGAAGCATCATCCAGAGGTTTCAGATGTTTGATTTTGTAAATTTGCTAACCATGTTTATATTGACATGTAAACTACTGTTAATCAAGACTGCTTATTGAACACTTCAGCAGTTTAGGTTCTTCAATCTTCATTGTCCTTAATGTTATTCTAGCTATAATTATAGATTATATGTAGTAGAAATGCATTGGCTGAATTTTCAGGTGAATGCATTGAAGTTGTTATATGTTATCACATCGAACTATTTACTGCCATTCTCAACATTCAATCGTGGGCCTCGGTTTCTATTTAACCCCGATATTACTGATACTGGTAGAACTTTAACATAACGTGTGCATATGCTATATGAATGTGGAATTTTTGGTTCTTGTCGCTGCTGTGTCAGGCATCTGCTATGATATATGGAAGTGTCGGTTGGTATTGCATCTATGGCAATGGTTGTGATGCAGAACTGCTAAGCAGCCTAAATGGCATGTGAACCTCATACTGGACCAGCCGGTTTAAATTTAACAGGAAATGTGTGATCCAGGTATAAAACCTGGTTGGGGGTCTCTATTAGACCGGTTTGGAAATGAACACAGTTCCATTATTTTCTGAAAAATTAATGACCCAGTTTTCTACTGACAATGGCTCGAGTCTCTGATTTTTGTTTACCTATAGTCTTATTTATGAAATTCTCTCCCAATCAGTTGATAAATTGTAGATTTCCCCTTCTCATGAATTATAATTATCTTTTTTAATAATTCAATATGAACGAATTGCTTAAGAAATAGAAACTCAGTGAACAGAAGGGATTTTTTTCTCTTTATAATATTGTTACATGCCTAAGCCTCTTTTATGTTCAGTCTTTCATCTGTGTCTCGTTTTCTGGCCTATGTGGGAAGGTCTTCAAAAAACAAACTTGTGTGAGAAGATGAAGAAGATTGGGAGGTAAGATTGAAATGAGTTCTGGAGTATGTTTATGTATATCGCATTGGGAAAGTGATGAATAAAGCTTGTCAAATTTAGAAGAAAAATAATTAAATCTCGTGCATTTGCAATTCTATAATTGAATATCAGTGTCAACCTGCTTTGCTTTAGCTTGAAGAATAGGATTTTGTTGCTGAGTATGTTGCATTAACATTTAACACAAAACACTGGTCATTGTAGCATGCGTGACGCCCAAGGCATAATGACTTGACGTCAACCTTTTCGCTTGGAAAAAGTCTATAAGAAAGTCTGGATTTTGAAATGAATCCTTCATTTGCATTGACGAGCATGATGTGAAGAAAAGGATTAGATAAATGTTATGGGACTGGTAGTCAAACTTCATCAAAGCATCGAACTACAAGTTATCGGCTAGTTAGTTTTTTCCTCAAGAGTAAAACCATGTTGCACTTGTCACTTGTTTTTTTATAATATTAATTTTCCATTTATTTAAAAAAAGGCTTTTTGGTTTTTAATAAATAAATTTTTCCCAAACTAATTTATATGTATGAAGTTTAATATTAATTTTTCGTTTATTAGAAAAGGGCCTGATTCTTTTGCTAAAATAACTTTTTTCCAAACTAATTTTTATGTATGAAGCTTGGGTTAAATATTCGAGTTGCTATTGAATTTTGTCAAATGTTTTTTATGACATGTTCGACAAGTCTTCTGCATTTACCTTCTATTTATAGAGAAATTTCTTGATAAAATTACTTTCGTGATCAATTGGCGTAAGCTTCTTTTAGCAGTGCTTATTGATAGAGCTATTCTAGATTAATTTTATCAAAAAGATCTTCTATCAAACAAAATTATTTCAAAAAATTATTTAAAAAAAATTAAAAGCAGTTTCTTAATTTCAGAAATAGCTTTTCACTTCTCAAAAGTATTGCCAAATGATCATTAATTACCTTTGAACTCTATAAATTTTCCAGTTGCAAAATTTCTAATGTTTCTTAATTGTTATTGAACTTGTCATTTACAACTTTAAAAATTAACTTGCTTCGTAACATGACATGCTAAAATTTCACATGTTGCCGTTGATGTTAGGATGAAATTGTGTCTAGTCTCGAAGTCAAGATTTTCACAAGCAAAAAGTCATTTGTACACCGTAGAGTCCCCTTACATTTTCAGGAGAGTCCACATTGTAAGGGGGTGTAAAAGTTGTACATTGAGCAAAACTGTTATCACAATGGGGGGTAACTCGGCCAGTGACAGAGGGGAAATACATGAAAATAGCCTAAAGAAAATGGCTACTTTTTCATTTTAACCTTCAACTTATTCAAGTACCTAAAATACCCCCTAATTGATATTATATATAAGTCTTTATTTTATAGAAACTTTCCATTCGAGTCCTTAAAATTTTTAAAGAATTTAGTCTCTAAATGGATAGTTAAAGTTTTTAGTATATTTATAAATTTATTTGATTTTATAGATTTATTTGATTTTTGTTCGCTCAAAGTAGCACCCTATAATCGGTATCAAAGCCATGGAGATTATGGAAATTAGATTAAGAAAAATAAATAATTATTGGCATATAGAAGAAGAAAGAGGAAGTTATATATTTTTAAAACATACTCATAATAAATTAAAAATAATGACATTAACAATAATTAAAGAAATACTCAAAGAAATAAAAGAACAAATATTAGAAAAATTGAATAAAAACAATAAAGGATTATATATATGAAAAAAATGTTAATTTATATGAAGATGAAGAAATCGATTTATATTATAAAGGGAAGTATGAGTGCAAGTAATAATACAGATTTGAAATTAAATAGATTACTTATAAAAATGGAAAAAAAATACTAGAAAAAATACGAGATATAATGTTAATACCAGAAGGAATAAAAGTATAAAATAAAAGACAATTGATAAAATTAAAATGTGAAAGATTAAGACTTAAGAGTAAATATTTTAATATAATAAAAGAAGAATTAGTAAATACCGATAGCTCTACTAATAGAAGATTTGGAATAATAACAGATAAAAAAGATGATAAAAGATGCAAATTAACTTATATGTTAGAAAGATGATTTTAATATGTCAATAAGTGAATATATGAAAGAATTAAAGTCATTAATAAAAATGTTAATAAATAATATACAAGATTTAAGAAATGAAGTGAGAGAAACAAGAAATGATATAAATATATTAAATAATAATAATAATAAAAATAGATAAAAAAATAGATAAAAAAATTAATAGAAAAATAAATGACTCGAATAGGAAATAAATATATTGAAAATGAGAATATAGTAATAGAAACAGGAAGTGTGGATGATGAATTTAGAAAAAATATATTACCAAAAATATTAGAAGAAGAAGAATCTAAAGAAAAAATATTAAGAAAATTAAATGTAGAAGATAAAGATGAATGAGAAATTAGATTTATTAATAGAAAATTTTGATCAATTAAGTCTAACTGATATAAGTGAATATCAGGTTTTAATAAATACTGGAGGAGGACCTAATTCAATAGGAATTTCTAAACAAGAATTACAAGATTCAGATGAAAGTTATACACATATATATAATAAACCATATAAACAATTTTATGATAAAGTAAGAGATAAAATCTTCCTAAAGGAAATAAATATAGGGATATGTTTGAATTAAATGACAATTATGATAAAACTATTAACCATGGAGGAAAAAATTATATTTAAATTGCAAAATAGATACTAAAAAATCCTTATTAATTTAGGCAGATTTAATGATATTATTCTTTTTATATAATAAAAATGATACGTGGAAAAATACTGAAAGAAAAATAGATTTCTTAATAGCATCTTTTGAATAAGATGTTACAAATTGGTGGGAAAGAATAAGTAATGATACAAAAATATTAATAAAAAGGAATGTACAAACAGAGACAATAAAATCAGATAGACAAGGTATAGAAAAGTTAGTAGAATATATTTCAAATGAATTTTTAGGAGAAAATTGAATAAGAAATGCTGAAGAGGAGAAATAAGAGAAAAAGACAATGCTAAGATTAAACTAATAAATTTAACAATATGTGATATATGTAAAATTAAATAATATACTTCTGAATTTATAAATTATTATTATGTTCAATTTTACAGTAATGAAAATCAAGAAGTATACCAAGATATGCACTATAATAAATTACCAGGTTCGTGGGGGAATATATTACAGATAATGTTGGAATATCCAGAACTTTAGGTTCAAGAATCAAATTTTCATTTGAAAGAGTTGTATATATATGTCAACAAAGACAATTAATGAAAAAATCAGGAAAACTAATTAGAATATGTTGTGAAGATATGAAAAATTCTATCTAGTGGGAATAATAAATTACCAGGTTCGTGGGGGAATATATTACAGATAATGTTGGAATATCCAGAACTTTAGGTTCAAGAATCAAATTTTCATTTGAAAGAGTTGTATATATATGTCAACAAAGACAATTAATGAAAAAATCAGGAAAACTAATTAGAATATGTTGTGAAGATATGAAAAATTCTATCTAGTGGGATGTAATCCTGAATAAAGGGTAAATAAAAGAAAATATAAAAATAAAAAATTTAGAAATTTTAATAAAAAATATATATAACATAAAAGAAAAAATATCTCATATGGTCAACAGAAAAATAAAAGTCAATGTAAATGTTGAAATTGTGGAGAAATATATCATATAAGCCCTGATTGTGATAAAAAGAAATTTAAAATATTACAGAAATAATATTGGGAAATAAAAGATGAATTAAGTAAAATATCAGAAATTGAAAAATATTATAATCAAGAAATTTATATAAGTGAAACAGGGGATGATGAATCTGAATCTGAATAAAAAAATAGAGGAAATAGAAAGTAATAATATAAATATACAAGAATATAAAAGAATAGAAGGATATGGATTAAAAGTTACTTTTGATAACAATAAATTTAGAAAATTACAAAATTTATCTTTAGATTTAAAAATAGGGAAATGGAAAGTTTTAGATAGAATTTGGAAAAGAGAAAGGATAGCAATAAATGAATATCACAAAATCGAAAAAATCATAGATGTAAGAACAATATATGGACCACATAAATTAAATATTTTAACAAAAAATACAATTGAAGAACTATTAATAAAGGTTAGTAAAAAATAAAGTGAAAAAAATCAAATATGTTTATTTAGCAGGAATACAAATAAAGTTTAAAACATTATTTAGAGAAACAATAGATTCACTCTTAGCTATAACCTTACAAGATGGAGGATAATAAATTTAAAAGATGATCATTAAGAAACAATAGAAAGAAATCTGGAATATCAAAAAATAATGTTTACATGTTACCTAAAATATTGTGTTTCATTAAAAGACAGAAATTTTAATGAACTGTTAGGACTATATTTTAAGCTACATAAATATGATATCATGCAATCATGTGATCAAATTATGACTATAGAATATAGAGCTTTTTATATATTTACCAATTCTAATTACGAAAATATTTATTCTAATAAATCATATATTGAAGTACATAGAGAAGTAAGGATTTTAGCTAAATAATATAACCAAATAAACAAATAAGTTTAATTCCAAAAGAATATGAAATTAGTATAACAAAAAATAAACCTGAAATAATAGAATTAAATGAAGGAGAATGTTCTAATAATATATCATTTAACGATGAAAAATTAATTAAAAGGTCAAAAAGTCTTAGAATACCTAATAAAAACTAGTTAGAAGAACTTAATAATATAAAAGAAGTAAAACTATATAGGAATG